ATTTTCCTACATTCATGGTTCTCACATTCCATGTCCCAATCACCAGTGTCTGCTTACAACTGTTCCTCTTCCTTTGTATTTCCATACTTGAAAACTCAACCTCCTTTGGATCCTCATACTCATTCTATAATAATGGATTTATACAGTATTTGTCCTTATGGGACTGAGTTAGTTTACTCAGCATAATGCTCTCCAGTACCTCTCAAGTTAGGTAGCAATTTACAGTCATTTCTCCTGTGTGCTGTATAGTATTCCATCATACAAATGTACTATAATTTCTCAATCCATTTGATTGTGGTCAGACATCTGAGCTGTTTCCATGTTTTTGCAATAATGAATAACATTGCTGTGAACATTGCTGTACAAGTCTCTTTTTGTGCCCCCATTCTCATATCTCTGGGTGTATTCCAAGCAGTGGAAGAGCTGGGTCATATGGAATTTCTATGTTCAGCTTTTTGAGGAAGTGCCAAACTGCCTTCCAGAGTGGTTGTACCATTTTGCAATCCCACCAACAATTTCTAAGAATTGCTTTCTTGACACGTCCTCTCCAACATTTCTTGCTTACTGTCTTGTTAAACGTTGCTACTGTTACTAGAGTGAGATGGCATCTCATTATGGTTTTGCTTTGCATCTCTCTTATTGCCAGTGATTTGGAGCATTTCTTCATGTATCTGTTGGCCATTTGAATATCTTCCTCTGTGAAATTTTTTTTCCATGTCTTTACTCCATTTTGTGATTGGATTATTAGTCTTTTTCTCGTGGAGACCCAGGAGTATTCTGCAGACTTTCGTTTTGAAACTCTTGTCTGAGATGGTATTACCAAATGTTTGTTTCCTGTTGGTAGGTTTTCTTTTCACCCTGTTGGAAAAAGTTTTTTATGTGCACAGGAATTTAATCTTTAGAAGGTCCCATTCATTAATTTTATCCTCTTCAGATTGTGCATTTCTGGCTGTATTTGGCAGTCTCTTTATACCTTGGACTAGCGCTTCTAAGCTTCATCCCAGTTTGTCTCTTGTGAACTTTTTGGTTTTGGACTTTACTCCCAGGTCTCTCATCACCTTGATTTGATTTTTATGTGTGGTGTGAGATGTGGATCGTATTTCAGCTTTCTGCAGGTGGAAGTCCAGTTTTGCCAGCACCATTTGTTGAAGAGGTTGTCATTTCCCCATTTGATAGCTTTGATTTCCTTGTCAAATATCCATTGACCATAGATAGTTGGGTCTATTTCTGGATTCTCAATTCCATTCTCTTGGTGTTTTTAAGTGTTATCCAGTCCAGTACTACTGATAAGGATTCTATGAACAAGGGGCCTCTCCTGTGCCGTCCTCACAATCTCTGACACCCTCAAGCCCATGGCTACAGTCTGTCAGTCCATTTCATTGAGGGTCTTACTCTCTTTCCTTGACACTCCATCATTCCAAGCATGTCCCTCCCCAAGGAATAACCTCCCCTAGCAACATGCCCAAAATACATGAAATTAAATTTGTCCACTTTACCTCCAAGAAGCACTCTGGGTGCACTTTCCCCAAGGTATCTCTGTTCTCTGGCTGTCAATGAGATCTTCAGTACTTTTCTCTAGCACCACAATTCAAAAGCATCAATTCTTTTTCTGTCATCCTTATTCATTGTCCAGCTCTGATTCACAGCAAGTGATCTGAAAGACCATGGCCTGAATCAGACACACTTTAGTCCTCAAACGGACATCACTGCTCAATAATTTGGAAAGGCTCCTAACTGTAGCCTTTCCCAGTGCAGACTTTCCCCTGATCTCCTGACTGCAAGTACTAAAGATGTTGATTGTAGATCCAAATAAGATGAAGTTGTTCATAGTTTCAATCTTTTCTCCATCATGATATTGCTTATTGATCCGGTGGTAAGGATTTATGCAATACATATCAATGTCTTGGATCTTCTACAGCGAGCACTTCAAATCCACTTCATTTTCAGTAAGTAAGGTGTTCACCTGCATAACCTATGTTGTTGATGAGTTTTTCTCCTATTCTGATGCCACATTCTTGTTTATGGAGTCCAGCTTCATGAATAATTTGTTCAGTGTACGCACTGAATAGGTGTGGAGAAAGGCTGCACCCCTGACACACACCTTTCCTGATTTTAAACAATGCAAAGTTCTCTTGCTCTGTTGTTGGTCTAGTTACAGGTTTGGTATGAGTATAGTTTTGTATGCTTAAGAATGAGGTCTTGAGCATAAAAAAATAGGCCCCACCCCCAAGATGGAGGCTCTGGATTGAAGGGCCAATAAGCAGAATCATGATGAACGGTGACAAGATTGAGGTTGTCAAGGATTTCATCTTACTTGTACCCACAATGGAAGCAGAAGTCATGTTACAAAAAGCAAAAGACACATTGTATTGGTAAAATCTGCTGTCACATACCTCTCCAGAATGCTGACAAGCAAAGATGTCAGTTCAAAAACAGTGAGCCTGACCCAAGCCATGGACCTGAGGAATTGAGTCCTTGAATTGTGGTGTTGGTGAAGAGTCCTGAAATCACACGGATAGCCAAAAGAACCAGCAAGTCTACCCTGGAGGAAGTACAGCCACAGTGCTCTTCAGAAGCAATGATGGGGAGACTTTGTCATTCTTTGGTCATGTTGTTAGCAGGGGCCGTACCCTGGACATCATGCTTCATAAAGGAGAGAGTCAGAGAAAGAGAGGAAGACCTCTAACAAGATGGATGATGTCATAGCTGCAGCACGGGTTCAGCCACAGCAGAGCAGTGAGAGAGCCCAGGAGGGGCAGAGCTCTGTCCTGGCGCACACAAGCGTCATTGGGAGGTGGAGCCTCTCAAAAGCCACTATCGACATTTACAGATACCAGGTGACGCAGAAAGGACTCTTTAGCTGTGCATTTGTATTTATACTGCATTTTGATTCATCATCTCTTATACTCAGCATGCAGTATGGTCAGACAGGAAAGGCTGAGGGCCAGGGAGAGCCCTCTTCTGGTAGAGCTGAGCTGGCTACCAATATAGGATGCATGCACTGTGAACAGCCTCGTCCTGCTGTTTTGTGAGTGGAGGGCAAGGCTGCTCTATTTTGTGTTTGAAGACATGCATCCTAAGTGACCAGTCCTGGGCCCCAGCTCTGTCTGTCTCTGACTAACAGTTCCTTGTTACTGGAAGGTTTCTCCTTATGTCTCTGTCAGCCGGAAGGTCTTGCTGCATTCACAGGCTACTCGCTGAGTGAGATTGGGCCCTGCCTCAGTGACCTCCACAGAGCCTGCCTGGACATGGCCCAGCGACCACAGCAGGCCATCAGGGAGAAATACAAGACTTCCAAGTAAGTTGACAGAATTTTCTTACTGGGCTCACTGCTGAGACCTTGAGAAGGTCATTGTTGTTGTGTGCCATTGTGTCAAGCACCACTCATGGTGGCCCCGTGAACAACAGGCCTGAACCTTGTACTGCCCTGTGCCATCCTCAGTCTCTGACACACTCAAGCCCATTGCTGCAGTCACTTTGCCAACCCAACTAGTTGAGGGTCTTTTTCGCAGACTCCCCACTTTTCCAGGATGTCCCTCCCTAAGGAACAGCCTCTCCCAGCAACATGCTCAAAGTATGTGAGATGAAGCTTCACCATCTTTTTCTCCAAGGAGCACTCTGGCTGCACCTTCTCCAAGACATATCTGTTTGTTCTTTTGTCAATCCATGGCGTAGTCTGTAGCACCACAGTTGAAAGACATCAGTACTTTTATCCTCTTATTTATTGTCAAGCTCTCAGATGCATAGCAAGTGACTATAAAGACGGGACTAAATCAGGCATAACAGTCCTCAAACTGACATCATTGCTCCTAAATAATCTGGTGAAGTTCCTAACTGCAGTGCAATACATCTTCTGATCTTCTGACTGCTAGTACCAGGTGTGTTGATTGTGGATCATATTATTATGAGAAGGTCATGGTAATACCTCATGGAGTTTTGGGCTGCAAAAGGAGTTACACCCCAAATTAAGGACATCCACCTGGACAGGCCTGGGTTATCATGTCAGCTTGTGGTAGTGGTGATTTAGTGCATGGCTGCGAACCAAACAGTCACCAGTTGGGACTCACCAGCCACTCTGAAGAATGATTGGCGCTTGTGAGCCTGTGGGGAAGGCCTGCTCTCACAAGCAGCTGTGAGTCCAGATCTATCCCACAGTATCCACTAGCAGTGGGGACCTGGGACGGGCATCATCCTGCCTTTCTGCTGCATCTATGAGAAGGATTTCTGTGGCCTATGTGAGATTTACAGCAGTCCAGTGGGGCAGCCGTAGAGTTATGTTGATATCCTAAAGGCCGTACTTCTTTCCTGGTGATTCAAATCCAGCAACTGGACAGTGTCATCAGCAGCTGTGGAAACCTGAGGGAGTTAGCTCTGGGCCACCCCAACTCAGTGATGATGAGAGAGTGAGAGTTAGTGGCACAGAGCACCTGGAGCTGCACTGTAACCCAGACGATGCCTCTCTGGAGGTTCAAACTTACCAGATGCTCCCAGGATCAGAGTTGGACAGTGTCATCCCATGTGCCCCACAGCCTCTGTTGAAGGGTCCCCTATAAGTCAGAGACACCCTGATCGCAGGCAGGTGAGTGCTGCAGTGGTTAAAGTCCGCATTCACTAGCTACTCAGCAAGATAAACCAGTCTGCCTCCCTAAAGATTAAACCCACTGTTGTTGATTTTGACCCATAGTGACCCCCATAAGAAGAGACAGCTGGTGGATTAGACCCACTGACCTTTTGGCTAGCAGTCAAACACATAATGCACGGTGCCAGTGGGTCTCCTTCACTAAGAATGACAGCCTAGGACATCTTTTGAGGCACTGGTCCTGTGGGAGCTGTACCCTATATCCTGTGCTCTCTATTCTGTGTTTTCTCTCCCTTGTCTTTTGTCTTCTATCTTATGTCCTCTGTCCTCTGTCCTGAATCTCTGTCTTCTATTCTGTGTCTCTATCCTCTGTCCTGTGTCTCTGTCCTCCGTCCTGTGTCTCTGTCCTCCACCCTGTGTCTCTGTCCTCCACCCTGTGTCTCTGTCCTCCATCCTGTGTCTCTGTCCTCTGTCCTGTGTCTCTGTCCTTGTCCTGTGTCTCTGTCCTCTGTCCTGTGCAGTGGGCTTGGTTGTCGTTGTCAGTTCCTTGGTCTTGACTTTGCTCTGCTCTCCTTCCAGGTACATGTGTGTGTCTCTCATGGAAACGCCCGCAGTTCTGCCCCTCCAGTGACACTGGCCGGCAGCTCACGCAGGCCGTGGAGCCGCCCCAACTCAGGCCTGGCCAGCACGTGGATAATTCACTGCAGGCTGCGTCATCTATCTAAGGAGATAGATGACTGATTTTTAAAGACACAAATCTATTTAAGGTTTCTTAAACTTAGCTTGTTATATAACCTGGCCTCTTGGAAATAATAAACAACTTGATTTATGACGCTGTGTTAAGCATATTTACTGTTTGTTTCTGGCTTGGCGCTCTAGTTTAGCGTGTATAACCCCACTGGTTATATGAGTCCAGCTTGGTTTCAGGAGTGAGACCTGCCCTGTGTTCAGTCAGTGGACCCCTGAAACTGAAGCTCCAGCCACACTCACTGCTGTCATGTCATTCCATCCCACAGTGGCCTGGACATGCCTGGTGGGGCTGTGCTCTGTGACGTTCTTTCTGGCCATTTTTTTTAAAGACAGAATTCCTTCCAAGGCACCTCTGCAGTGGGGATGATGGTAGACGAGACTTCAGACTCTTGGTTGCCAGTCACGTATGCTGGCTGAACAGACTCCCAGGGCCTCTTAGGCGCTCTGTGCTTCTCCACACACTGACCAGGAAGGAAGAACTGGCCACAGGGATTGGGGAAGAGTCAGAAGCTCGGAGGAGGTGTCACTGATGCCAGCTGCCCTCTGCAGTCTCTTCAGCAATGACTCTGTGGTCTGGACGTGACTTGAGGTCTAGACAGGACCTAGATGTGACCAAGGTCTAGATGTGACTGAAGGAAGTCCAGATGTGCCCTAAATACGGCGGCAGTCTAGACGTGACTAAGGTCTAGATGTGACTCGTCTTGCTAGCGGCTAGTTTTACAAGAAGGTCTAAAGGCACTGGAGCCTGGCATCCAGGGGCTGGACCTCTGCAGTCTGCTGTCCCCCATGTCCGTCCGAGGCCAAGTTGTTGGAGGCATCTCCTGTCTGGGACTCGGCTGGGGCTTTGCCAGACCAAGAATAAATCCACTCTGAGAAGTACGTTCTAGGCCCTTTCACATGAAACAAGCATCCTGCTGGCACAGTGGTAATGAACAGGAGAGGGAGGAGAGAAAGGAGAGAAAGAGAGAGAGAGAGGAGAGAGAGAGAGAGAGAGAGAGAGAGAGAATGTGTGTGTGAGAGAGAGAGAGCAAGAGCGAGTGAGCGCACTCTGGAGATTCTGTGAGCAGATCTGTCGGTCCTCCCAGGTTGCTGTGAATCAACTCGAGGATGTTGGGCTTACTTTACTGCAGAAAGATGGAGTCAGTGAGTGTTGTTGATAAAATGGTTGCTGGGATCCTGCAGTAATGTTACCCCAACAGCTATATTTCTATTATACACAATAAGACAAAAAGAAAAGTTTCCTTGTTACTATAGATAAAAGGAAACAGTTTCCAAATTTTACTTTTGTTACAAACTCTAAGGGAATCAGAAGTATAAAAATAAAACCATATTATACATCTTTTGTGAATGCATTTTGAAATATTGTATACATAAGCTATTAAAATATATTAGTGCTGCCTTTTCCTTGCCTTTGCAAGGAAATATTCTTAAAATGCCTCCATTTCTAATTCCACTGAATTTCCATTGCATTTCTCCTCATGCTCAGTCATTGTGTCAGATCCTAAACATGCATAAAGAGACCAGAAATCAGCATAAGGAAGCATGCTGGAAGCAGACAGAACCAGGAGGACGTGGGGTGGATGGTCATGCAGTGATGACCACAGTCAGAACATGAGGTGACGGTCATGTGGTGATGTCAGGACTGCAGTCAGGAAGTGAGGTGGACAGTCATGCAGTGATGTCAGGACCACAGTCAGGGAGTGAGGTAGATGGTCATGTGGTGATGACAGGACCGCAGTCAGAACGTGAGGTGGACAGTCATGTGGTGATGACAGGACCATACTCAGGATGTGGGGTGGACGCTCATGTGGTGATGACAGGACTGCAGTGAGGGAGTGAGGTGGACAGTCATGTGGTGATGACAGGACTGCAGTGAGGGAGTGAGGTGGACAGTTATGCAGTGATGACAGGAACACAGTCAGGGAGTGAGGTGGACGGTCATGCGGTGATGACAGGACTACAGGGAGTGAGGTGGACGGTCATGAGGTGATGACAGGACCGTAATCAGGACGTGGGGTGGACGCTCATGTGGTGATGTGGGAGGGCCATGACAGGGACAACACTTACGGATGAAGGTGAAGGCCTTGTCAATGTCAGGGGCATGACTGTCCCCAGAGAACCAAGAGCCCATTCTCCACATGACCTCAGTACCTGAGCCAGACTCCTGCAGCCAGCTGCTCTCTGGCTCTCTGTTGGACCTGAAGACCCCTGAGGGGAACTAGCTGCTAGCAGCTCAACACTCACGAGGACACTGCAGCTATACCCAGGCCTGGTACTGGACACACACACCTGTCAGCCAAACCATAGAGCGGCTGGAAGGCAAACAGTGACACAGAGAGTCACCCACTTCTTAGGATCATCACCCTCATGGACAGAGAGCAGAGGGCAGAAGGGAACAGCACAGGAGCGGGTTAGAAACAAGAAACTCAGGGATGGAGCAGGAAGAGTGTTGTTACATTGTGGGAATTTCAGAACAAATGTGGGTGAGCTCTTCTAAACCTTCACATCACTTACAAGAGAAAGGTTTTTAACAAGAAGATCATTTAGGGTGAATCACTTGAGGGGTCACTTCAACTCCATTCACTCAGAAGCCTGGCTCAAACTGGTTTCTCCAGAGGCAGGTGTTGTCCAGATGTGGCCCCAGGCCCTTCTGTGAGTGCATGTAAACATCCTGTTTGTGTGTTCAAGGAGTACATGTATCTGCTTTGTTTGCTTTTACAAGATTAGTTGGTCTGTCCTTGGTAAACAGCACACCTTCCCCCTTAATCAGGACTCCAGGCAAAGACATCATTCCAAATTCTTACTGTCGACATGTAATAATTATTGTAACTTTGTCAAGAATGATGGAACTATGTAACCGGAGGCAACAATGGTTTGCGATTGTGCTGCATAAATCTTCTATAAGAGATCTCCCCTCCTGGTCTGGAAAGCAAGGATGTCAGCTTAAAGACTAAGGTGTGCCAACTGAAGTTATGGTGTTTTAAATTATTTCATTTGCATGTGGAAATTGGACAATAATGGACAAGAAGGAAACAGGACTGATGTATTTTAATTACAGTGCTGGTGATGAATATTGAATACACCAGACATTCCCAAAAGAACAAACAAGTCTGTCTTGAAAGACGTACAGCCACATCCTCAGATGTGGGAATGACAAGGCTTTGGGCAAGTGACCAGGAGAGGTCAGTCCCTGGAGAAGGACATCAGGTTAGAATGAAAAAGGAAGACTATTAAAGAGATGCTCTGACACAGTGGCTATAACACTTGGCTTAAACAGCCAGTATTTTTCTTTTTTATTCATTTTGATGAACGTTTACAGAGACTTTGGATTTCCATTCATTTATTGTTGCATTTTTCTCCCCGCTCTCTCTTCTCCCCTCAATTCACTCTTCCCTTTGAAAAGTAAAAGAAAAATTCTTTCCTTGTTATACAATCCCTCCCCCCAAGTCCACTCCACTATGAAGCCTTTATTCTGGACTCCTTTCATGATAATACCTAATCCTATATCGTTTAAAACAGTTCTCTCCCTCATCTGTTTCAATGCAGTATACATTATTTATTCCCTCTTCCTTAGTCTCCTCTCAACCCTGATGTCAGTCCCATTTTACAACAGTGGCACTATGCACTATTCATCCTTTTGACTGAGATATTTCACTCAGCATAATGTCCTCCAGGCTCATCCATTTTGTATAATATTTCATGAGTTCCTTGTTTTTCAATGCAGCATAGTATTCCATTGTGTGAATATACCACAGCTTCTCTATTCATTAATTTGTTGATGGACACTTGGGTTGTTTCCAACTCTTTGCTATTGTGAACAAAGCTACAATAAACATAGGTGTGCATATATCTTCTTGGGTCGCAGTTCTGATTTCTTTAGGGTATATTCCCAGCTGTGGAATTGCTGGGTCAAATGGTAGTTCTCTATTCCCAACTTTTTGAGAAAGCACCATACTGCCTTCCACAGTGGTTGCACCATTTTACACTCCCACCAACAGCAAATAAGGGTTCTAGTTTCTCTGCAACCTTGCCAGCATTTGTTGTTTGCTGTTCTGTTGAATTTTGCTATTGTTACAGGGGTGAGATGATACCTCATAATTGCTTTTATTTGCATCTCTTGTAGAGCTACTGCTTTTGAACATTTCTTCATGTGTTTGTTCACCATCTGAATGTCTTCTTTGGTGAAGTGTCTGTTCATATCCTGTGACCATTTTGCAGCTGGGTTGTTTATCTTGTTATGGTGTTCGAGTATTTTATATATTCTAGATATAAGTCCCTTACCAGACATGTCATTACCAAATATTTTTCCCCAGTCTGTGGCTTTCCTTTTTACTCTGTTGGAGAAGTTTTTGGATGTGCATAGAGATTAGAGTCTCAGAAGGTCCCATTCATCTATTTTATCCTCTCCTGGTTGCAGGTTTTTCAGGATGTTTAGAAGACTGTTAATGTTGTGGACTAGGGCTTCTAGAGTTCTTCCAAGATTTTCTCTAATGAAGTTTACAGTTCTTGGTTTTAGTCCTAGGTCCATGATCCACTTTCACTTGTTTTTTTTTTTTTGTATGGTGGGAGGTGTGAGTCTTGGTTGAGTTTTCTACAGATAGTTTTCCAACGTTGCCTGCACTATTCGTTAAAAAAGGTTGTCGCTTCCCCACATAACTGATTTAGTCTCCTTGTCAAAATTTAGTTGCCCATACGTAAATGGGCTGATTTCTGGATTCTCAACTCTATTCCATTGATCTATGTATCTGTCATTGTACCAGTACCACGGTGTCTTGACCACCATGGAGCTGCAATAGGATTTGAAATCAGGTAGTGAGATGCCTCCTACCTTGTTTCTCTTTTTGCTTATTTGGGGCCTCCTTTCATTCCAGTGAAACTGGA